TTCTCGATCGGGTGGTTCATGTCCCAGGTCCTTTGATCTATCAGCTGTACCTCGATCTTCTCCTGGTCTTTGGCACTTCGTTGTTTTGGTCCACCCTGGCACGCCATCGCCCTTCCCTGCACCCGTGCAGTCGGATGGACGGTACGAACGTCCTTAGCATGTGAAGGTCATCGTGTAGTTTGTTAAACTCTGTGTGCCACTTATGCGGTTGTGCTCATCCATCAGGATCACTAGAAAAGGTTATCTGCTGCGCAAGCCTGCAAAGAGGCTACGTTCCTTTCAAACGTGGGTCCCCTCTGGTTCAGCCTGCCCTTGGTTCCCGTGTGAGCAAAGTGCCTTCCCAACAATGGCTTAATTTAATTTAGTAGAAAGAGAAATAAAGAGTTGCCAACATTCTGTTAATTGTGGACTCCAGATCCTGACAATTCCTCTTAGTTATTTCATGTAGACATTGAAGTTGATGGGAAAGACAACTGTTTTGGAAAGATAGAAAGGGCAAGATATTTCTCCACCGGTAGTTCTCCAGTTTTAGCCATCTGTTTAACTAAAATATTTTGCTTGTAAAACAAGACCAGAAATAAGAATGAACTGGGTGTTGCTAATCAGTGCTATTCAAGGAAATCTGGAGTTGTACAGTCTCTGCTTTTTTGGACCATCTTACCCAAGAAAGGTTCCTGGCTGATCAATTCCCAGTTGAGCTGATGGTAAAAGTTTGGGATCAGTCAGTGCTACCTTGGGATAATACACAGTAAAGGCTAACTCTACATCTCTGTTTTTGCAGAACACAGTGGCTTGGATGAGCTACATCAGCATCATTGGTACTTTTGCCTTTGTGGCTTTCTTTGAAATTGGGCCTGGCCCAATCCCGTGGTTCATTGTGTCGGAACTCTTCAGCCAGGGTCCTCGTCCCGCAGCTGTGGCTGTGGCTGGTTTCTCCAACTGGGCATCCAACTTCTTGGTGGGCATGCTCTTCCTCCCTGCAGAGGTAAGAGTTCTGTTTTGGACCTTCTTTGTTGGCTTGGTGTGAACACAGTGCGGTCTGCTCCTTTCCCCTGGAGCTAGCAGTCTAAAATGTCTCCACAGATAGGAAAGAGGAGGAGGAAAGAGCACGGACTGGAAGGGAGTCCGGAAGCGCAGGAAAGCAAATGCCCTTTACATCCATTTTTGCTATTGTTAGGATGGTTGTTGGGAGGGAGAACCTGAAGGGTATAGTTCACTGCAGTTCGTCACTCAGTTAAACTCCTCAGTGGAAGAGGAGTTGGATAAATATCAACTTGGACGAAGTTCTTGCTTCTCCTCCTCATGAAGAATCAAACCATGGAGGGCCCCTACCCTTGCACATCCTGCTCCTGGAATGACCTTTGGCGACCTTGAGAATGAGGTGCTTCTCATTATGGACATGGCATGCTCCTCTCAGACGCAGTCTGGCCGTGTCATGGTGTATGGTAGAGGTGATGTTTGAGTGTGGTAAGAAGAAAATGGGCTCTTGAATAAAGGACACATCTGGGCCCTGACTACGTCTGAACTTTTAGGTGCACTGCCTTAGAGCAAAGATAACTCTTCCCCCTTATCTTCCTTGCAGCGCATATTCCGGTCTTTTGTTTTCCTGATCTTCGTTGCCTTCCTTATCTTCTTCTTCTTCTTCACCTTCTTCAAAGTCCCTGAGACAAAAGGCAGGACTTTTGAAGACATCTCCAGTGGCTTTGAAAGGCAAACGGTGAATGGTGTTACTTCAGCAACTGGCGGAAAGAGCTCAATGGTGGAATTAACTAGCGTTCAGCCTACGAAAGATGCCAGCGTTTAATACCCCAACCCTTGCTCGTCTCTGAAAGGCACCTTCCCTGTGTAACCGTTGCTGTTTTTTCGTGTTCCTGTGACTTTCTGGTCTTTGCCACGCCTTCTGTGCTGCACTAGGACAAGCGAAAGGCGGCTGTCTTTCCTGCCTCGCTCCTTCCTGCCACGGACCTCTGGGGGACCGAGGCATGGCTCCGAGCCCCTTGAACCACTACGGGGAGGCTAAACCGCTTACGTGGTTGATCCCCCTTAGCTTTGAGACCAGTTCCTTGTCTGCCAAGGAGTCGACCGCTACGTCCTCCTGATGTTTTATCATGTTTTCTACAGGGTGGCAAAAAGAGAGTGCAAAACACTGGAATTTACTTTAAAGCAAGGGAAAGAGACACCTTGCTCAATGTCATCAAATGGGGGTTTTCTTCTGTGTTTGGGAAATTAAGATCAGAACTGCCTTTTATTTACTAGGCTTAATTTATTCCTGTGACACTTTGCTTGGAAATATTTATTTTTATGCAACACTCCTCTCCTCTGTACATAGGGAATAGAAATAAGTGCAAGACAGTCATTTTAAGAAAGGGTGATGCAGTGACTGTAGGTTAGTTATCGCGATGGGCAGCGGGATGCCAAAGAGAACCAGGGCAGAGGATGCCTCTCTCGAGCTGAGAGCGCGCAAGGGGAGGCTCCTGTGCGACTCAGGATATTCAACTCGTATGCTGGATGCCTGCCATAAGGACGATTTGAACATTGGGATGTTAAAGGCACCAGCGATGGAAATGTCAGCAGAGCGCTGAAGCCTTGCCAGTCTGGTTGAAACCTGCTGGGTGGAGGGGAAGGAGCCTTGGGGTTTGCACCCCCTTCCATGACACCTTCCTTCTCCCTGACGCTGATGCAAGGGGAGGGATCTGGATTCTCTGCCCAGAGAGACTTGTCTGTGGCATCGAGGAGGCTCCCGGATGGTCTCTGAGAGAATGGCAGAGGCTGTGGCTCGGGTGCCTTCTGGGGCTGCAAGTGGGCAGCCACCATCATCGTTCCCACCTGCAGGTTTCGGACTGCAGTGGTCTTTGCAAACACAACTGAATTCCCAATGGGCGCAAAGAGGTTTGAGCAGAATGCAGGGGCAGGACCCCATTTTGGCGCCAGCCCCATTTGGGCACCAACTGGGAGGAGCGGGAAGGTGGCCGTGCTGATCCTGGTCTTCTCCGTGGTCCCCCTGCATTCAGTTTCTCCCTAAAGTGGGTGAACTTTCCCATTTAAATGGCATGTTGAAAAGGGTGGAATTTTGATGGTGCAGTTGCGGCTGCCATCTTGACTTTTTTGACTCCTCGGACATCCCTGGTGTAATCATTTGTCTTTTAAAGAAGCCTGTATAGGGTATTTTAATTCCCCAGATGCTTTTGACCTATTGCTTTTGGTGACTGATTTAATTTGCTCCTTTTTAATACATTACATGAAAAACTTCAGATATTATTTACTAAAGTATATTTTTGCAATCATTTATTATTAGATGAAAGCAAGGGGGAAACTCTGAAGAATAGGCAGGTAAGATGAGGGAGCTTAGAAATAGGGACCAAATAAAGAAGTAAACCTCTAGTTTTTCCTGAGGTGGTATGATCTATTTATTTATTGGAAAGAATGTAAATAGTTGAAGTCTAGCTCTACTGTATATATTTATATAATGCAAAGAGAGTTTGCTCAGTGTTCTTTATATTGCCAGTGTCTAAGTCTTGGGGTAGTGGAAGAAATGGGAATTTCTGGGTGGCATACGCCTGCCGGGGAGATCCAAGGTGGGCGGAGGCAGGCGTCCAGAATCTCCTGCCCTTCAGCCGGCAGCCGGCCAGCCCTGGCCTGGCC